TTTAGCGTCCATGGTCGACATACCCACACATGGGCGCTAAGAGGTACGGTGCGGCTCGTCGTGGCTCTTTGCAGACCTTCAGCTCCAAAGTCCCATAATTCTCGCTTTATTCACGTCTGTAGAAGTATGAGAACTGTGTTATGAGGATATTGCAAAATGATTCGAAACTTTGCTACCCAAGGCCTCTGTAGGTAAAATACATAAGAGGTCCTCTCGTTCTCCTTCGCTCATGAATACCTAGAAGAACGATTGTCCACGCTGAAGGTAAGCAAAAGCTGCAATACCAGGTCTTCTGTCAGCGTTTCTAGAAAAAATTATGACCAGGCTTAATCTGGCGTTCGCCATCTACAAAGGTTTTGCGACCCCCCCCTCACCTTTAAAAGGAGGCTCGATGCAACCCCCACCACCTTCCATCATCCATGGGGGAGTCCCCGATACGACCCGCTCCTCCCCATCCACGCACCACCCTGAGCATCATGACTGTTTCCATAGTATCTATAGTGCTTAATTCTGAGACCCATCGACACAGCCCCCTTTTGCTCTCTAAAACGGTCGTCAAGTGGGGATACACGAACCCGCCAAACCCGTCAAATACAACCCCCTATTACGGCCCCCGTTCACACTTCTCCCAGAGGTACAATAGTTAGCTTTGTTTAGCCCCAAAATACGAACTCTCCTTGTGCAGCCTAGCGGCGGGTCACACAGTTTGACATGCTTCTAGCACGCGATTGGGAGATCGGAGCTCTAAACGGAAGTCGGAGTTGCACTTTGTAATTCCACCTTAGGCACTGATCATATCCTTCCTCAAACAATCTTTTTGTGGTGATCTCCCAGTTTCTATGACATTAACTCTTACTAAGTATGTACCTTCAATCCTCCATGCATTCGTCATGTTCTAAGAAAATCGTTTTTGATATCATATCTGGTTCTGGCGCTTTTTCTCTTCTCGTTCGTATAAGTGTGAACTTATGAGATACTCTTAAAAACCATGAATTCTTTTTTAGAATGGAGATGAACGAAACAGTATTAAACGAGTCGCTGGTATCGACGACTCCAGAAAGTTGTTACTTCGAGCAACCGCCGATGATCAACATCCGATTCTGGCTCGTCACTGTGTTCGGTTCAACCGTTTCGTTCATCAGCATCATGAATAACGTGCTTCTTTTCTATGTGTTTATATCGAGGTTTGTCGACAAACGTTTTTCAACCGATAATCCAATCGATAAACTTTAAGCAACTCTTGTTCCCGCTCCCTGAAACGGATTTGGAGAACACGCAATATCCATATCCATGGTCTTTCTCGAAAGGCAAAGGACAGCAGCAAGGGCTAATACACTTAAAAACGGGGATATCTTTGAGGAGATACTTTGAGAGGTGTCTTTAAACATCGCATCGTATCTCATCCTGAGGTGTTGTCAGAAGCCGATCGTCAGCAAAATCACAATACCCGATCAACACTGCGAAGAGGTGCTATCCATCCTGTCGGCTAATTTCTTTCTTGATGGTTAAGTTGGATAGGACTGTCATGATTCTACTTATATTTATATTCAGTCGTTTTGAATAACCAAATGGGGTACTTGCAACTTTTCGCGAGTCGCGCGGCAGATCGTGGGCTTTGTAAAGCCAGCTTGAAAGCAAGCCTGTCAAAGCACTGATATCATTCCACTACAGTAAACTTCTTGGCGTTGGAAACGTCTTCAGTTCAAGCTGAAGTACAGAGAGGCTGTAGCATGTTCAGCACTGGTAAGGAAGACGCGCGTTCCAGCCTGTAGGCGGGCCTCTAGGCATTCACAAGTTTTCTCTTGCTTCGCAGCGGAAATGCGTAGACACTGCGAAGGGCTACTGATGCTTTGGAAGCAATACGGCCAACGATGGTGCAAAGAAAAAGCGGTAGTGGGTCGAGTATATGCGAGGCACGGCTGGGTGAAGCGAGGCTAACGGATCCTTTCTATTGAATGATGCTCTAGAGCTTTAGTGACGGTGGGTGTAGCAAGGCTCACGAATGCTCCGTGTGCTCGGCGACAGAAGCACGAACCTCTTGCTCAGCTCCACAGTAGGAGCGCTGAAGTGTTGGGCTTTTTGCTGAGCGCAGGTAGACATATGTAAATCAAAGCTACCGAAGGATCTGGTGGTACAATCAAAGGCAAACAATGACAGTTCACAAAAGGTCTCATGATCAAGAAGCGTGACCTATCATTTCTGTTCAGTGTTCGAGAGAAGCTCCTGTAAGTATAATTCACCATTATCTGGGTGTTCAAGCGTAATGCGTTCTCAAATAAAGTGAGCAGCGCCGTGGATGAAAGGAAAGGATTCAGGTGGAAAACCTAAAGTTTTATGCACTATCCCGAACCGAGTGAGTAACGTCCGAGCAAGATGTAAAAACATCTACAACGGCACATAAGTGCGTGCATAACACCAATGGAAGTCATAAGGCCCACGCGCTTTTTTAGCGCCACAAAGTAATCGTTCGTGGGGATTTCTTGTAATTTCTCACCACAAGAACACACCAGATGTGATCACTAGAGTCACGTAACAAGATTTTCACGTAAGGAGATCCAGTTTTTTCGAAGAGGAAGAAGCCTAACAAAGGCTGCTTCTATGGACGATCGCGGGTAGGTCGGGCAGAGACAAGGGAGCGCGTGGACAAATGCGCGCCTTGTGGCGGCCACTACCTGGCGAGACGTAGTGGAGTGGGGTAAAGCATCAAATTTGGAGACTAGAGATATAAACGATTAATAAAACAGAAAAAATATACTCAGAAACGAGAAATACTAACGCTTCAGGTGGAAATAGCCAAAAAGAGAGAAGGGACTCCGATAACAAAGTGGAATCTCTCCCGTTGCTAACATTTGTGGCAGATCTAGGCGCGGAGTTTAAACATGTATACACCCACTGATATCTTTTAATTTTTTTCACAACGACAGTTTTCCTGTTCTTTCCGTTACTCGGTGATAAAGTTATACGACTTAGGCAGTGTTTGTGAGGGAGATGGATCGTTTTTTTCCCCGCGGGCGATACCTTTAAGTTCGTCGCTGGGTACATTTTAACTACAAGGCTTGGTGATCAAGCGTTTGAAAATGTTGTCTGGGCACTCTTGCAGCAATGCCACATATACGAAGTTATTACTTTCCTTCCTTCCTAAAGGCTCGGCTCAAAGGAACCTAAAGCATGTGCTTCCCTGGGTGATGGCTCACGCGTTACTTGACAACAGCCTCGTAACCTTTCAAGTTATGAAAGTGGCACCAAGGAAGCAGTGTAGTAGAGAAAAACGAGTGCATCAAATAACCTTCAGACCTGATTCATCTATTCCTTCATCCGCAATGACTAAGTAGGTTTTCCTGCCATTGTAAGATTACAATTTCAGAAAGCATCATCGCAGCAATCACAATGTTTATCTGATGTTATTGGCCTTTTTCGATATCTTCGTTAGCACTGCCTATATTCTTCTGATGTCTGTGAATGTCCTCATTGATTATCTCATATCTGCTCGTTTAATGCAAATATGGTAGTTACAAGTTTACATGACGTTCCCGATGCTACACGTGAATAACGATATTTTTTCAGAAAATTCAGTGACATTGCTGGGGATCGGTTTGATAAGTCTCATTCAAGGCAGATGTCATGCTACCCATTCAGAGTTGGCTTCAAGAAATGTTAAAGGCAAAAGTCGGGCTCAATAAGGGGGTATTATGGCGATTGAAACTGAGTATAGAGATGCGAAGTGGAACGACAGTGGAGAAAAAACTGAGAAAAACCGTCGACAAGGCCGTTAACAAAACCCTCTTTCCCACTAGCAGTGAAGGAGGCTGGCTTGGGAAAGAGGCACGTACAAACAAGTTTTCTGGAGATGTCAGTCGTTCTATCGGTTGATACGGCAATCAACCTAGCTGATTTCACACGTTATGCCAGCCACGCACCACTTCCGGAGGTGGGCGGTCCCGGATTGAAACCGACGGCCCCGGGGCTTAACGACGTTTTTCAAGGTGGGACGTTGCTGCAATGTGTGCAGCTACTCACATACAACCTCCGGGCACGGGAATTACTCCTCTAGCGCGTCTGAGCCCGACCTTTGCCTTTAAAGGAAGCGATTACGATAAAGAGGGAGCGCATCGGGGAAGCATGTGCACCACACGAATCAGTTACTTGGCTTGCCAGAAAGCGAGATGTGGCGCTTCACAACGAAAGGTGCGCTGGTTGCTGAGCAGGACTTCGAAAGCGCTCCGCCCCCAAAAGCGATCCGCCCACTAGTTTACTTGTTGATTTGGACGAGCTGCGTGGCCAGCAGCGGCGCAAATGGAGCATCTCGATTAAAGCGTGTTTGGCATGGTGCCATCAAACGCGTTGCGGTGAACTCGTTCATACGTCCACTTTCTGAGCTGTTACCTTCTAATGAGTTGAAATTAACGGCTGGAAAACAGGGGCCCGTTGCCTTTCTTGACGTAATTTTTCTGCTTTTATCGCCGTGGAATGTATTATTGAGCACATCCAGTCACGCTGAACTCTTTTTGAATTTCTAATCGCTGCCTTTTAAGGCGAACAGGTCAAAGGCGGAGTTGGAGTTTACTGTGAAAGAGAGCGCGTAAAAAAATTAAGGTAGAGGTGGACAGTGATCTCAAGATGAAAAAAACAAGTGGGCCAAGCAAACTTAGAACGCCGCCCAAATGGCCCTTCAATCCGCCTTTTCTCGATGGCCGCCATGCAGTTCTTCTCTTATGCAGCAGTAGTAGTAGTAGTAGTATTATCAATACGATTTGGCCCATAAATACAATCATCTAACTGTCCTGGGAACGATAGAAAGCCTAAGTGGCCCGGGGCGTACAATTCAGGAATTGATCCTCGGGCCATCCGCATGATAAGCAGCTCCATTTACAACACACATTTCCAACCAGTCATCGCTTCGTACATGGCTTGTTAAATTCAATAAAACATAGATGCAAATGCGAACTGCGTTACAAAGGAACTACTTTCGTTAACTCTACCTCGCTCTTTCTTGGACGCAAGGAGAGGTTTGCTGATCCTGCTGGAGTGCAGCAGTTACAAGAATTACGGACAGCGCAGGTGGCCTCGTACTCTCACTGAAGATGCACTAACAAAAGATAAGAGCCCGTGCCTAATCGCAAGATTAAAGCACTAAGTTGAAATAGCAATTCAAATGCTTATTCTCTAAAACATATTTGATCAGCTAAGGCGAGAGACACGGTATGCTTGAGCGATCTTAAACTTCCCCGAAGCTCCTGCCTGCTTCTAGGCCTAGGTCCTAGGAATATGTCCCGTATCTTGCGATAGTTCCTGAATCCGACTTATGCAGGCTTCGTCTTTTTTTGATGCAGGAATCCGAAGCCATACAGTGGGCACACTTGAATAGATGGCTTCTTGCTTTTCGTATAAGCTGGCTTCTGATAGAAAGGGTACAAAATGACGTCATACGAATTCGCTTACAGGTTTTCTTACATGGTACCAATGATAACGATATCTCATGTGGCTATGACGTCGTCGTCTTTTCTCATCGTGTGCGCTTCGTTTGAGCGTTACTGTCTCACCGTGAATTCTCCATTTCTTCCATTCGCTCAAAAGTAGGTTGAATTCAATGGGCAAACACTAGCTTCCTTCTACTCCTTTGCAAAGTGCGTTAGAGTTAGAGGGGTCCGTGGTTGCGGGAAGGGAACATATTGGACGGGTTATTCCGAAATTTCGTGGAAAAGTTCAGAAAGTGAGCGTGAATTGACCAAAACTAGAGGGGTTAGTTCTACCACCAAATACCCGGGCAAAACGGCTGTTTGAAGGAAAACGGAAGGCGGGGGGAGTCGGAACTTGTTGTCTGGTTTAGAACAAACACTATAGCAACAGCCATAGGTAACTAGCGTGGATCGGGGTGGAGAGCGGAGGTCGTATTGAGGGACCCTCGAAAGGCAAGTAGTGGTGGTGGGGGTTGCATCAAGACCTCCTGAGAAATGGGGTTTCAAAAATTTAGTAGAAACAACGGTATAGTTGGCCTTGCTTTCAAGTGCATGGTGCAGTAGACCGGAGCAAGGAATCAGCGATAGCTTCCCCCCCGTAAGAGACCCGGCAAAATTCGTGCTCCGTGCCTCCTGTTCCAAGTTTATAGTACAGCTCAACCAATCTTTTCTTTCAGTAATCGAAAATTGATAGCTGGTTTTGCAATTCTTTTCGGAGTGATCAGCAAAGGCACAATGTGTTTCGAGTTTGAGGTGAGTCATTTCAGATTAATAGTGATTGGGGCGGTTTACACTATGTATGAGTGTACCCATTAGTGGCGCCGCCTAACCTCTTGGGCCACACCAACACAGAGCGTCTCTAGTAAATATAACCAATGAAGAAGGCGACCGAGCGAACAAATAATAAACAGAGCAGTTTTAGTTCTACGACCTACCCGAATGCGAAGGTTTGATCACGCAAACTCAAATGCGTTATCCGGATTTCGTATTTGAAACACCGTATCATATCGTTTGGCGCTTCTGGTGAGCAGTTTTACTTTCATTATGGTAACCTTTTCCCAGGAATTTCAAGAATTTCCAGTGGAGCGTGGCCATGTCGCTTCCAAGAGGTAACGAACTGTGAGGCATTGTTGAAGGGCGTCAGGTCGCCCCTATTTTATCGTACTTGTTTACATTCTCGACCAAGACTAAGTTGTCTTCAACCGATAAGGTGACCACCGCCACCTCCCGCTCCCCGGTTAATTCCCATCTTCCGGTACGAGGGGGGAGGCCACCAACAAAGAGGCCGATTTTGCCAATGACAACGCATCGTCAATTGCGTTTACGTCGGCCCAGGGTGATACCTGATAAAAGTTACGGTGAAAATATTCTTGGATGTCCCCCATAAAGCAGAAACAGGCTTTGATCGTTGTCCGCTACGCGTCTTTAGAATTGAATGTCATCTAGCCATCACGTCGAAATGGAAGGGCCTACGTTATCGCCCACTCCTGCCATACTTCTTCAGCGGTTAACCAGTTGGATAGCCCTTCTACACTACTGTTGCGCTTATTTTAAGAGCTTTAGACAATCTTACTTACCCAGGGGTCGTAATGGCCCATGTCCCTCGACGACCTCATTGAGCTCGCACGACGTTTTCGCGGGGAAAGTTGCTATTGTCGTCTGGGGGAATGTTGTGTAGTGTTTTGATAGACTGAATGTTGATCTTCAACTATCATGGCTCACTTCGTGTCTTGAGTTTCGCAAAGAGTATTAATACCGGTTAAATGTGGAATACCGTTTAAATGTGGATGAGAGTGACTCTTTTTTGGCCCACCTCCATTAACACATTGACGACATTGAGACGCGGTAACGCGTCTCACTTTGCGCACCTCGTTGGACATTGAGACGCGTTACCGCGTCTCACCCTTATCATCCCTTTTTCTAGGGCATGCGCAGCTTTTTCCCGAATTGTTTGTCTCTCTTCTATGGATTAGAACATAACATTATTGTGAACGACATAGGTCATTGTTTGTTCAAATATGCTCCAGTTTAGAAGAAGTTTTCCAAGCTCACCGAAACCGGCGGCTTGGTTCATTAATAGTTTTCATGCTATTCTCATGAACACGTCAATAAAAAAGGGTAGTGAAAGTAAATGCAAATCTAAAGAGACAGAAAAATACATGTTTCACTTGGTATAACCACATCAAAAGAGCTTTTGGCATCCACTACAGATAAAATGACTAAAGTTTCCTTTTTCATTACCATTACATGTTCTTTAATCGGAACTTCGTCACTATATACTCTATTACCTTCTACGCATTGACTGTTACTGAGATGTTTTTGTACCACTGGTGCTTTAAAAAGTTATCAATAAAAATTCACGGATCCGAGGTGCGGCGGTCGCACTCGCAAAATCGGCCCGGTCCCACACGGCCAAAAAAGCCAAAACGCGCGCGGTCGTCAATGTGTTAAATAATCAATTAATTGATTAACTACGTAAACCAAATCGAATGAGCCTAATTGCGAATTATAGAGCACATTTCAATCTATCAAGAGGTTACATGACAGTATTATTGTATACTCATTCTACGAATTTACCACATAAAATCTACAAAGTTTTGCAATGACTGACCCTTCAGCTCTTCATGAACCAATCAGACATTTGCTTCGTCAACGTGTCCGATGATGTTACACGAGTTTGGTTATAGGACGGGAAACACCCTTTTCGCATTCCGCAGCGTCCACCCTGATCATCAGTAGACCGATTTCCCAGCAGGCGAAAAAATTCTCGCGGCTGCGGAACGCTATGAAGTAGCTCCTCTGTCCTAAATGAAACGCACAAACGTGTTACTGCAGCCAAAACTAGTACTAGGATCAACGGTTCCATAGAACCTTATTGTCTGAGTACAGATTAAACCATTTTAGCGTGGACAAAGACAACTGGTGCTATGAACAATATTGTGAGTGTTAGCGCTACCCTTTCCTTCGCTTACTCATGTTTCATTGATTCATTCACATTCTTCATTTCATTTATTGACGCAGACAGAGTCCACGTGGGTATGGCAACTCAAGCAAGAAAAACTTCGTCAACATAGTAAGCGCCGTGTAGCAAAAACTTGAAAAAACAATGAACAAACACAACAGAAATATAATGGAAAAATAAAGCATAACAACTAACGAGCAGAAAAAAAAACGGCGCAACCTATGGGAATGGTGACAACAATCAGGTACCAAAATGGAGGAATCCTCTGCAAGCACTGATTTCTCTGCTAAAGCTTTGAAAACTTTGAAGTGAAAAATGCATGACATCCTCTGTTAGTATCTTATTAAGAAGAGCTACCACTCTGATTGAAAAGTATTTGGCTCGTATTTGAGTTCTAACTGCCGGACGCCTGATTTTCACAGCACAGCCGCGCGTTCTAGACTGATTTAGAATAAAAAAGTCATCCAAGTTGACCGAAGCCTTATTGGTAAGGATTTTGAATGCCATGACAAGGTCGTTAATCTTTCTTCGGACGAGCAAACTAGGAAGTTGAGTAAATACGACGACGCACAACACTGTCTGGAATAAACTGATAGCCCAGACCAGTGCATCGCATAGCCAACTTGCGCGTGAAACTGCTGTTTGAACGCTTTCCAAAAGGAGTATATCCCTCTTCTTGTGAGGAGAGAAAATAGTTGTTCCCGATTCCAAAATCGGCCTGACGTAACTTTTATAAGCTCTGATTAGCGTCTTGGAGTCCTTAGCTCTAACGGCTCTGAAGAGATTATATACTTCTACACATTGCTTTATGCACAATTTCTTTGTAATAGATATCAAAAGCAAGCTTGTTATCAAACTTGACACCAAGGTCGCGAACATCTGTGACTTCTTGCAGTTCCAGGGATCCTAGACTATATTTGATAGCTGTGTTACTTTTATTTAGGCAAAAGACTTTGGTTTTTTCATGGGAAAGCGGCAATCCCCACTCAATAGACCAACTCTTGACGCAGTCTATAGCCGCCTGAAGGTCTTGTTGATGCCCTCTAAGAATAACGTGGTCAGAGTGGCGATCACGTTGGCCAAAAATGGACAAGTTATTTTTTGTGATGAGGAACATGAACATAGAAATTCTCAACTTTGATGATGGGTTTAGAGTGAAGAAATCAAAACGGGCGGTTTGAAGAAAATAGTATGTTCCATTACCACAATGACCGATCCTTTTCATTTACCATTTTCATTCACGCCGATATAGTATTATACAGAGCGTATCGAAACTTCACCAGTACAAAGGCGTGTGCCCATACTCACCAACATCGAGTATGGATGATGGGTTGCGGGGCCATCATATCTCGACTTTGAAACTATGTCTAAAAATCTAAAAAATTCAAAACATAATTATAATCGTTCCTCGCAGACCCTAATTTATGTATCGAGCCATGAGAGCCGGGAATACCTCTGGCAGAAAGGGCTCTCCTTACACGGCAAGACTGACAAAATTTTTCTTTTGCTTAGATGATCATGCAAGTCAAGGAACGACTCTTTGTTCTCTAGCCCCATATTCGCAAATCTAAATGCTCTTCATCAAGTGCGCTTAGATGATTCCATCTTCCGAACATGCATTGGAACTCGCGACGGCTCCCGAGAAGTCCCCCAAAACTGTTTGAGAGCGAGATCGACGCCAACCTGTCTACACTCAGGTCCATGCTCTCGCGGAGGGCTGTGCTCCTATCAACAGTTCAGTAGTTATTCCGAAGAACAAACGCTATTTCTCAACATCTTAGCCCTAAATAAATATGTTTTTGTTTTTCACTTGTCCTTCTTTAGTAGTGCGGTTTTTATGATCACTTGGTCTTGTTAACGCAGTTTGTGGCCACCCTCTAAAGTACCTACGCACTTTTTACGCCTTGGGGCAGCGTAGTACCTCCATAAACTTGATGAAATAATTTATCATGTGAATCATAATGAAGGGTGGTCTTATTAATCAGAAAGAAGCGAATGAATTCAAAAACCAGAAAAAAGAAAAGACCTTTTGGTGCTGTTCTTATGGATTGAAGGATCCCACATGGTCGGCGAAATGCATACCATATTAAGGCTGCCTGTTGTTACCAAATTGAAACAAAGGCTACTCTTTCATTATGAAGTGAACCTCAACCTGCAAGAAGGTTGAAGAGGATTTACGCGCTTCGATGACTTTTTTAATTCCAGGTATCCGCAACTTTGTGACCGTTTTTGCTCCGTTCTTCATTTTGGCGTATTTCAATATACGCATTGTGAAGGCACTCACCAAGCACACAAAAATGACCGTATGTCAACTGGCTGGTAACGCCTTGGTTGAACAGGCTAAACGCAAGGTAATTATAGTTTTCAACTAACCACAAGCATTATTTCAGCTCAGCTTGCATCAGCAGAAGTTGGGCTGATTCTGAGAAACTGTGAGGCATCAGTCAAGTACAAACAGGCTCACTGATAGTGTCCTGCATTTGTCCTCGGACCATGGAATTAGCTATTCAGGCGGCCCAGCACGCTTCTTCCCTGTGTGTGGGGTGTAGCTCACCTTTGTGCATACAATGTCCTCGACGATCACTGAGTGGTGCTAGCTCGTCATTGATTCAGGTTACAGTGATGGATTCTAACCTTTCCTTTGGAATCTCTAAAGTTCGAATACGCAGTCGGAATTGTCTGCTGACGGGGTTGGCTATTGTTGGACGGCTTGTCCTTTGCGCAATAGGCTTTCCCCAAAGCCCTCCACTGCCAAACTGCTGAAGCCGTGGTGAAAGTACGCAGCGTGTCGCGGAACCGTTGGGGAAGGGTGCTCGGCTTCCCCGAGACCGCCCTCCGGGTCCCGTTCCCGGTGCGACAGATCGGGGTTCCGGATCCCCTTCTCTCAACTAGAGGGTGCCTGTCCTAGCGGGTCATCCCGGGGACCGTGCCGTTTTCCCCCCCGACACGGCGCCGCTCCCCGAGGCATCTACACAGAGCGACCCACGCGCATCCAATTAACCCAATACATTGGAGCGTACAGTGAGCTTTGCCCTAGCGCCCATGACCGCTAGTTCGACACATGACAACACATATAAATACTCACATTTATGAAGGTCCTTTCCCGAAACATCTCGTCCTACTCCTTTACATTCGTGGCGGCGTTGGCCTAACAATAGTCTCGGCGTCCATTCGTGTAATCACTACACTGCACTCCGCCTAATCGCGCAGATGACCTGTTGAGGGCCTACAGCGTCAATCACCATCGGGCCTAAGCGTGGCGAACCTTCGATAGGGACGCATGGTGAAACTTACCGATGCTCCGCCAAGGGAGACTACCGTGCGCCCGACCGCACGGCAGCAATGCGCCCATGAAGTGCTCTGCGCACTTCATGTGTCGCCCTTAGGCCTCCTGACGGCCGTAGCCTGAGGCTCCCCCTCACGGAGAGGAAGTACGCCTCAACCGGCAGAGGCGACCGCATGACGACGTGGCGCACGCTTATAGGGCCGCGCGCGCCCGACGTAAATGGCCATGGAGCGAAATAGAGCCCATGCGTGCAGCGCGCGCCTAGACGACCGTCGCGTACCGTGACACAGCGTATTTTTGAACCCCCATTAAGTGGTTTCCCAACCCCACAAAAGTTACAGTACGTGATGATTAATCTGTATAATTTCCTCTTGAAATCCGCTTTGTTACTGCTTTTTTGCACTTTTTCCTTAACTGTGCATTTGTATGGTGCTGCTAAAAAGTGATTCCTATTGTTAGATGTCTGAAAATCCGAATCTGGATCCGGTGAAGCGTAAGGTAATATCGGTTTGCTCGTTCGATGCATGCTTGTCTGATGTTTGCCGTGATTTTCTTACTTTTCCATAAGATTGTTTGTGTTTTTTGAGTTTCCCACCATGGCAACAGAACCTTCCTCTGAACGAGAAGGGCCAAGTTCCCCATAACACATGTCTAAATCCCCTCACCCCGCTAACAGGATGGGATGCTCTCATAGCTAGTGTAATTGGGTGATATGTTCTTGTCTTCGTCTCGATGGTCCCTCTGTTCTCTCGCTTCTTCGACGTCTACTATGTCATCCCATCTCCTAATATTTTTCATTTCTCGCTAACAATATCGAATCACTCGCAAAAAAAAGAGAACCTGTTAATACAGTTTTTCATGCTATTTTCCGAAGATGCTTCAACGTAAATGGGTGAACACTGCGCCTCAAGTGGAACTCAAACCTTTACCCTTCCATATCAGGTTTTCAAACAATATTCACGAGTGGGCGCCCTTTCCCTTCACTCAGCATGCGGAGCATACTTATCACGGTGTCTTTCTAATCCTTCTTACTCAGCGCTATATTTTCGTTATCGGAAACCCTTTTCGATGTAAACCTTACCAAGGCCAAAATTTTCTCTAATTGTTAAGGGGGTTTCTCGACTAACCAGTACTGGCACGAATTAAATACTGTATTAAATGCTACCCAATACAGGGGTACCAGTATTCACTCTACAACTCGTTTATGATCCTAAAGCTCGCAGACTTCGCCTTAGTTTATCCGCTACATGTGTTTCACCACTTGATCAGCACTGAACCTCACTTCTACTTAAAATGGAACACTCCAAGTTCCGGTGATTGATTCGTGGGAGATACGTCTTGAGCTGTTGCAGTGAATGCTTGCCAACAAGGATCGGCCATGTCGTTGATGAATTCAAGCCTGTGCGATTCCTCCCGCAGTAGTTGAGTCGCAGAGATTCGACTGACACACCCCACTATGATCCCAATTATTTGTGCCCGACTACCCCCGTCAAATAAGGATAAAGGATAAAGCATTTGCCGTTGATCAATCCCTTTTTGGGATGCGGCACGCATTCTACTTCCATTTGTACATTCGTAGTGGCGTTTGAATGCGATGTGGCCTATACAATGACTTGCGGGGCCAGCCGATGTACAAGTCAGTGTTTTTATCCTCCCAGACAAGTCTGGTACCAATTAACCGACCCCGGAGGGATGGAAGGCTTGGTTGGCCCGGGCGACTCACGACCCAGGATTTGATCCCCGGACCGCTCGCGTGGTAAGCGCGCCACTTGTCACTACACCACTTCCGCCCTGAAAATGACTAGGGCGGAAGTCAAATTAGGAATAGGAAGCGAAAAACGTATCCATCATTTTCGCATGAAACACCTACTTTTACGCGCATACACTTACTTAGATACTGCTCGTTTGGACGAAGAGAGTGATTCATTCAGATCACTTCTGCATGCCCCCTCCTGTGTTGTGGGGCTCAAAGTGATATAATGGTTTTGAAAAGAGTTGCTCGCTAAGATTCTGTAATCCTACCAGGTGACTTTTCGGCACCGCTCGCGGCTGCACCGAACGCTGGTGATGGTGTGTGTTCTATTTTAGTCAGGGCAATATCATCAGCGTTGCGTTGACGATTTGGGAGCACTTGGACAAGGAGACGTTGATGAACGACTATGTCAAGTTTGTTGCGGTTTTGACGCTCTTCGCTTTCTTATATATTGCCTGTATCCAGATCGTTTAGCTCTTGCAGTAATGGCAGCGCTCTTGTAGGTATGAGGGGGGATTCGAGTGAAGGGGAGGAAGGGTCAGGACTAGGCCTTAGACAGCAAAAGGCATTATAGGGAGGACGTGTGCAATCTGTGTTCTCTCTGGCGTTTCTTCCCTCTCCCGAGCTCGGTCCTAGCGTCACTTACCATCGGCCCTGTTTGAAATTCTCTCCCCCCTCGCCCTCCTAAGGCCACGAGGCCCGTTGTTTAGTACCCATTTCCTGAAAACTTTGAAACTTTTTAGTCACGGTAAATACTACAAACCTATAGTTCTTTCAATTACATTTTTGAGTTCTGGCAGCTTTTAGCTCTTTCTGATAAACTCTTTCAAGAAAAGTAGAATGCGCACAGGCGTCTTCCTAAGGGTTTCCCGTGTCATTCGCAGCGCACAGACTAACTGCGCGCAGTCAGGAATTGCTGCAGAGTTCCTTTAAAAAAGGATATCCAATAAACTTCTTAGGAATCTAATTTTGACCATGCAAAAATATAAAATAACCTTAACAATAAAATAAACAAGTGTAAGGGTCTCAATGATGTACAATACCTGAATCTCGTGATTTTCAGTGTTTTCAGATGTATGCGGATCGCCATCGACATTAGCTACTGCTGCGATACTTCTGCTTGTGCATGCGTCACCGATTTATCTCACTTGTCAAGCATCTTCAGACGGAGATCAAAGCAAAAAAGTCGTCTGCATCGTGTGTTGTTGCTAGCAAACAAAAGGTGCGGTCTCTCCTGACTTTGCCAGCCAAAGCAACATTTCTAGTGGAAGATTCTTCTTCTAACCATGAGAAATGAAATGTAGAGATCGCACGGTGGCAGTGGTGACGTCCCACACGAATGGTTGGAGCTCCGGCTTACCTTGAACCTTAGCGAAGCGAATCCTACAAACGGGGAGTGTTACCTCACTCCAGACGCGTCTGGGCCAGACAGAAACACTCAACTTACATTAGCTGTTTCCCGTTCCAAGATATTAACACCAACTCGCATTCGATGACTACGATTGTAAGTGAAAGTAGAGTGTGTGGCAGATCCCGAGAAGCTACTTGTCAACATTAAATTTTTTGTACCTTCTTCAGTATCAAACGGAAAGAGGTATCGGTCCGGAAATTCCAATGCTCCTTCAAGGAACAGCGAGGCTGAAAAAAAAACGCTTAGCGCAAAGGCGCTGCACCACCATCTTGGGCTAGTTTAGACGCAGATCGAATGATAGCAGGCGGGCTTCTCACAGGTTTAAGTCTCCATGAACGCGTTGCCCAGTCTTCTATAAGTGTTCGTATTGGGCCGGATGAGCATCGATGGCCTCTAGTTCAGATCCAATCGAATGATAGCAGGCGGGCTTCTCAAAAGGTTAAAATCTTCAATTTGAACAGTTGGTCCATTTTCTGCAAGTGCTGTAGTGGCCGGATGAACATTCGATAGCCTCTATTATTCTGACAGTCGCCGAAAAATTTTCAGAATATCTAGCATTGAAAGAAAGACTTAAAAATGTATATTTTCCCTTCTACAAAAACGTCCTGCATTTTCGAAAAGTGTAGGCGAAAGTTTGCATTATGCAGTTTTTGAAGCTCCTATAAGTTTCTCATTATTGAGAATGCAATGTTCTATCGTCTCTGAAACCCACCGTCCCTCACGCATCCACGGAGGAACAGTGGGATAAATTGCAAAGATATCAAGGAGGGAGTGAGGGAATCCCCGCAACCAGTCCACGCTGACCTTCGCCGCCAAATCCTACGCTGAGGAGGACCAGCCGAAAAGCGCGACAATATGGATACGTGTCTAAATTCCGTTGCTTAACAAAACTAATTTT